ATAAAATCTAATAAGATTTTTCACTATTAAATAAGATTTAACAAGATTCTCTTTACAATCTCATAAGAATCCATTTCATCCAACAATTTCCATGGAACGAAATCGAAAGTTTATTTCTTCTTGTGGGCACACGATGGCTATCTTGAGGAACTAAATGTACTTCTTCTTCAGTACACGACCTCGGTTAAATAATTATCTAACGGATAACAAAACTGGTTCTTCGAATAAATATTCCTACATAAATCACGACACAGAGGCGGACTTGGGGACTGCAAATACAGTTGTAGTATTTAGAGTGCAGGTGCAAGTTTTGTGGGTGGATTTTTGGTAAATCGTAAATTGCTTAAATTATATGATTTATTTGACAAATTTATCTCAAATTAACTTGTCTATAATATTGTCTAAAACCAAAAAATTCTACAACAACTAGGTACACTCATAAACCTAGGAGTCTTACACCATTTACTACAAAATCTATGTATTACATTTGGATCAACTTTCAGGACCCCCAACGCGCGCTATTGGCCAGCACTGATTTTTTAAATTTAAACCAAACTATCTCTTACCCGATTCAGCCCTGTTTTGGAGGAAAAGACTTATATCTTCCTCCAAAATGATATTTATGTCCGATGAATGTCCGCATCTCCTTTCTAATGTAAACTTCCTGATACAACCCATGTGCAATCTAAGCAGATTCTCACATTCTAAACAAACTGTTAAATTATTTAATATAATAAGATAGTAAATAAGATAGTTAAAATAAATAAGATTGTTAAAGGAAATTGGTAAAGGATTTAATACCAAGACAGTATATTATATAAAACGAATATTGATGATGGCACTCACTTTGGTGCAAAGGTTTGAAAGTTTTTATATCAAAACCAGGAATTTAATTAAATTTTTATATTTCTACGAATCTTAGTATTAATTAGTAATTAAAATACTATTATTTAATAGAGCACTTTAATTGAGATTGATATAATTGATATTCTTGGAATAATTTTGCAAGCATAGGAAGTTATACACGTGTAGGTGCATAAGCTTTTTATTGTTTGGAGCAAAATTTTGCAAAAAAAAATATGAAATGGTATATTTTTGAAAATGCAGTTTTTTGCAGAATTTAATAAGCTTTTCAAAAATATATATTGGCTTGTTTAAGTAAATTATTAAAATATTTCAAAAATAGTAAAAAAAATGTCTAAGATGTTTAGATAAGTTTTTCTTGTTTAGCATGGATTTGTGAAAAAAATTATATATCAATATATGTTCATGTATGTACAAAAATATAGTACATATTACAAGCTTTTTGAGAATGTATAAAAGTTATTAATTATGTCATAAAAATATAATAATAAAAAATGAAGAACCAATGACAAACCATTTCAATTGCTATTAACACTAGTGGGGTGGGTGGCTCAAGGCAAATTGCTGGAACTTCCCGTACCGTACCGAAATGTTCGAGGAATACTGAATGTTTTCAAATAAATTATTATAAATATTGTAACATTGTCTAATATTTATAAGTATTATATAAACTGAATTGCAAAGTTGAAATTATTTGTTTAAAGTATATTAGAACTATAGTCAGAATTAAAAATAAAATCTGAATTATTTTCGATATACAAAAAATGAAAAAAATTAAGCAACATTTTTTTTCCAAAATCAATTATTTTGTTAAGACAAGCAGAAAGTTCTTTGAATCATTCAAATCGGACGTTTAGTTCTCTCAAAAACTGCCATTTTTTACATATTTAGCTCGGTATCTTCGAAGTGGCTGGGCCTACCTTTGCCAAAAACTAATAAACACTTCTCTCAATCATTACTAATTGAACAAAAAGGTAAAATATTTGTTAAATACTAAAGAAATGCTAGATGTTTAGATAAGTTCTAATGTGACACTTTGTAGTTTAGAATGCAATTTTGAGCATATTTATTTAGACAATGTATATTTAAAAATATGTGCATTGTAGTAAATTTTATAAACTTTTCAAACATATATAAATCACCAATAAAAATTTACAAATATATTTTAAATTTAATCAAATAAAACTTGAAAAAAAAATGTCGAGCTACATAATGATTCTCCATTGGTGATTCCTACATATATTTATATTATATGCTAATTTTTTTATCAAAACCCTTTCTCAAGGTTTAAACAAAGGTCCAGTAATCATGATCTCACCTGTTCTCACCTTAGATCTTATGCAATCGCCTTACCATTTCGTATATAATTAAATCTTAAGATGGTAATGTCGAAGAAAAGTGATAGTACATTTCACATGAATAGTCCAAGAAATGAATAGATGAGTTCCTTGCTTTCTTTTCGAGATGATAATCTCTTCCATCTTCAGTTAAATATTCGCATAATTGACCAACTGGGCTCTTTGAACTTTAACACAAAGGCCGGAGGTAAATGATTGACAACTTATTATTGGAGGAAAAGATTGAATGAGACTAAAAACAATTAATAAAAATGGGGTTTTATAGTACTTAAAATAAGCTTTAATGAGTATTTCTGCGTGTAAAATGAGTGAGCTATCATGCACATAAAGGACGCATACAATGTTTTTTGTTTCATTTAAATAAAATAGTTTATGAGTGCCATTTCCACCAAAATTGAAAATAATCGTATTCTATCTAGAATTAACTTGGTTTACGAGATGTTGATGGATTCTAGAAAATACAACTTTAGTACAAACGATTTCCAAAAAGCTCATAATTTCATGAAAAAAAATCTATTTAACCACTTAACGGTCACGCACGAACACTGCTCGCGCCTAGATGTCGTATCCTAGCGGGCTAACCCGAGCGCTGCTCGCCAAAGTTAATGTTTATGTTTTATGCGATAAAAAAAAGAAAAGATACCTATAAAGGTATATAAATGAAAATTCAAGGTATTTTACTGACTAATTATTGCTTTTTATTATTTTTCTGTTACACAAATATTAATAGTGTCCAACCAGAGTGTCTTTCGAGTCCTTCAATCCTTCGCCATTTCAAAATAAGAGAAGTTACGGTAAAATTTATGATAGATAAAGTTGTAGGTCATTTAATTACCATTAAAATAGTGTATTACAAGTACTGATAAAATCGGAATTAAAAGAGTTATAATCCAATTAATGCCGGGGGTGGTGAAAGAGTGCAAATTGTTTCACTTCTGAACTTAAGATTAAGATTAGTCTATTTCCAAAATATCAAGCAAATTGGAGCACAGTAAAAAAAATCGCAAAGCACACGCTTTTTTCCTCTCTATTTATTGCAATAATTTTGTTGATCGTAGGTTGAATAGAGCACAGGATTTGATAAATTAATTCACTTCAAATATAAACTTAAGTAATAATGTATATTGAATTATTAGTGAAAAAAAATGTAATTTAGATCGTAAATTACTAAAAAGCAGTTAAAATATGGTACAAAATTATAAAAATTATAGGCAACATTATTGAAGCAATTATTTTGGGTTAAAAAGTCCAAGGTGTTATTGTACCTTTACCGCGAATGCTATTTATTAATTCTTTCTGAATTTGTTATACTTTTTAAAAGACTTCCATTTTCAACACGTGATCATAAATTACAAAGGCAGACGATGATTTTTTGTGTGATAAATTTGGAAAATTAATGTTTTAGTCGTGAATAAACAAAAAATCATTTATTTATACATCCACATCTACAGGTATGACTGAAAAATTGTATAACCCTTGGCATTAAAATAAATTGAGCTATTGGAAATAAATTTGTTCTATTAATTGTAGTGTATAATTTTTAATATACAATTTTATTGAACATTTTTTAATATTTGTTAGAAGGATATTTAAAGTGTTAATTGTGGGAATTGAAAATAATAATTTTATTTGAAACAGTTCTACATTCAACATCACTCATATATTGGTGTAAATAGTAATTCGAGAGCCAATAATGATTATTTTCAACTGAACGGTATAAATATTAGTGAAGGATATTAAAAAAACGTAGATGTGGGTACAGGACAACGTCTGTCGGGTCACCTAGTATATATATATATAGTATGTATGTATGTATGTATATATGTATATATGTGTCTATAACAATTTCAAATTGTTTATTTATATAATAACAAATCTTTTATTCCGTAATGCGTACAAATGCGTAATTGAGGCCATAAAGAATCCATTTCGACACGCCGAAGAAAATCACGCAACGGATTCTCTCAAGAAGATGATTTTAGAATACTAAATAGTTTATAAATAAATAGTTAATTTGTTTAAATAAAAAGGACATTTGTTACATTGTTGTTTATAGATTCGATTCGTGTAATCTGTTACATTTGTTATATATAAATATATTGTTGTAAATAAATTAATAAGCGAATGTGATAGGTAGATTTTTTTTTAGTTTGGGGCTAAATATTACAAAATTTTGTTAGAACAATGTGTATTTCAAAAATGCAGTCTTGTGCAGAATTTAATGGAAATCTAAATATATATAAGGTTCATAAGCGATACTACAAATTTTCTCAATATTTCAATAATAGTAAAACTTGAAGGTGTCACTTGTTGAAAAAACTAAATCTATTAGTATGATTCCATTTTTTGTAATTTTTTGTCACAAAACTGTATATTTCTAAAAAAGCAATTTAATGCAAAATTTAATAAGCTTTATAAATATACATATAACGCTTTTTATATTCTTGTACAAAATTTTTGAAAATTTGAAGCATGATGAAAAAATGACATTTATGATCCTTCATGTATGAGAGAAAGTTTTATCATATAATTACACAGTAAAGACATATGTAGTTTTAAACACTTTGGCCATCACTACTAATACAATTCCGTTATGGCCGCATGTTGGCTAGCCCTGGCTTGATTACTTTATCAGTCGACTGATATGATAACAATAATCTTGTTAGATATACATTTAAATGTGTACTTGACACATTGTGTAAATTTGAATGAACAAAACTAGTTGATAATTTTTTTAGTGAGAGTTTATAATGTAAACATAAGAGTTTTGCATCCACAATGGCAAGTAATCTGCCAACATCCATTGGGAGTAAAATAAGTATACCTTTATATTGAATTCCTGTCATGATTACAACTTTCTACACATTTACTAAATTTCGTTTTTAGGGCAAAATGAGGAGCCGAAAGTAATAAATGTTGATAAAATAGCTGCAAATCCCGCAGTCAATAATAAAAAAGAATTGGTATCTCCACTTTTGTTAGACAAGAATGCTAAAATAAGCCATATAGCTAACAAAAAATGGTCGGCCTTGCATGTCGCGGCATACAACGGCGAACTAGCAAGGGTTCGATATTTGGTAGGCCTTGGTGCCAAAATAGATGCCGAAAGTAAGGACAAGTTGACGCCACTCCATTGCGCAGCTATGAATGGATTCAAATATGTAGTTCAACTATTGATCGAAAGAGGAGCAAATATTGAAGCTATCGATGATCAACAACAAACGCCATTGTATGTCGCAACTCGAAATGGTCACTTGGAGGTTGTGCAGATTCTGGTTACTAGAGGCGCCAATGTCGATGCTGTTTATTGAAGGAAAGACTCCATTGCACCTTGCAACTCAAAATAGTCATTTGGAGATAGTGCAGTTTCTGATTAGTAAAGGCGCTGATGTCAATGCTGTTAATAAAATAAATTGGACTCCATTGCACATTGCATCTCAAAATGGTCACTTGGAAGTAGTGCACATTCTGGTTAATAAAGGCGCCAATGTTAATGCTGTCGATGTAGAAAATTGGACTCCATTGCACCTTGCAACTCAAAATGGTCATTTGGAGATAGTGCAGTTTCTGGTTAGTAAAGGCGCCAATGTTAATGCTGATAATGTAGAAAATTGGACTCCATTGCATCTTGCAACTCAAAATGGTCATTTGGAGATAGTGCAGTTTCTGGTTAGTAAAGGCGCCAATGTTAATGCTGATATTGTAGAAAATTGGACTCCATTGCACCTTGCATCTCAAAATGGTCATTTGGAGATAGTGCAGTTTCTGGTTAGTAAAGGCGCCAATGTTAATGCTGATATTGTAGAAAATTGGACTCCATTGCACCTTGCCACTCAAAATGGTCATTTGGAGATAGTGCAGTTTCTGGTTAGTAAAAGAGCCAATGTTAATGCTGATATTGTAGAAAATTGGACTTCATTGCACCTTGCATCTCAAAATGGTCATTTGGAGATAGTGCAGTTTCTGGTTAGTAAAGGCGCAAATGTTAATGCTGATAATGTAGAAAATTGGACTCCATTGCATCTTGCAACTCAAAATGGTCATTTGGAGATAGTGCAGTTTCTGGTTAGTAAAGGCGCCAATGTTAATGCTGATAATGTAGAAAATTGGACTCCATTGCATCTTGCATCTCAAAATGGTCACTTGGAAGTAGTACAGTTTCTGATTAGGAAAGGCGCCAACGTCAATACAAGTGATATAAATAAGGGGACTCCGTTGCACATTACATCTCAAAATGGTCACTTGAAGGTAATGCAGATTCTCATTAGTAAAGGTGCCGATGTCAATGCGATTACTGAAACCAATTGGACTCCATTGCACAGTGCATCTCAAAAAGGACATTTAGAGGTTGCTCAGTTTCTGATTAGTAACGGCGCTGATGTCAATGCTGTTAATAAAACAAATTGGACTTCATTACACAATGCATCTCAAAATGGTCAGCTGGAAGTAGTGCAATTTTTGTTGAACGAAGGCGCCAATGTCAATGCCGTCAATAATATAAATTACACTTCATTGCACATAGCATCTCAAAATAGTCACTTGGAGGTGGTGCAGTTTCTGATTAGAAAGGGCGCTGATGTCAATGCCGTTTCTGAAACCAATTGGACTCCACTGCACAGTGCATCTCAAAAAGGTCACCTGGAGGTTGTGCAGTTTCTGGTTAGTAAAGGCGCTGATATCAATTCTGTTAATGAAACAAATTGGACTCCATTGCACATTGCATCTCAAAAAGGTCACCTGGAAGTTGTGCAGTTTCTCATTAGTAAAGGTGCCAATGTCAATACTGTTATTATAGGAAATCGTACTCCATTGCACTCTGCAACTTATAATGGTCACAAAAATATAGTCAAAGAACTAATAGATAACGGTGCAATAAGAAATGCCATAAATGTGAATAATAAGACACCAATAGACTTCGCCTATGAAAAAGGGCACATGGAAATCGTCGAACTATTGAAAAATTACAACACATCTACATAATAGTTAGAAACAAACCATTTTTGTTGTATTGTATGACAACGTGTTTAGAAATAAAGGAATTTAATAGAACAGTTCAATTTATATTACTTTAATTAATACATGTGTGCAGGTATATTTAAACCTGAACTTTCATTGTGTTTGCACTTTCTGCAGAGATAGAATGCTTATATTTTCAGAATTGTTTTTACAACATTACATTTAGCAGTGAACACTTGAATTAGTGATAAGTTTTCTTACAATTAATTATATATTAATTAATTAATAGTTAATTGTGTCTAATAATCGATCAAACGACGTACAAGGAGTCGGTGAACATCGAATTCAGGGTGATCTAGTTGATAGGATGAATGAAGATCAAAACATTTTATATATTGAACAATCAATATTATTATACATACTCTCTAGTAAAACGATACTAAATAATTGTCAAAACTGCAATAAAAATATTTTATTATAAATGAGTGTCTACTTGTCTGAAAATCAGCTGATCTACTTTTGTACCAGCCTATCTGTTCACCCGTTTTTCTGTATACTTATTTTTCTAGATGTCTACTTGCGTATCTGTCAGACTATGTTGCAGCTTGTCTACCAGTCTAGTAGTTCACATGTCTACTTATCCAACTGTCTATCTGTCATCCTAGTATCAATATTTTATATGTTTATGAATCAACAATAATAGTAATATTCAGACCACCAAATGTTTTTTTTTTAACTTTGATTATTTTAATAATACATTAAAAACATAGCAAGATTTAGAACAAGAACATAATCATCACTGATAATTACATTCTATTATTTTCGCATGTTGGCTAGCACTGGCTTGATTACTTTTATCAATCGGCAATTTGCAACTGATATTATAACGATGTTAGATACATAGTTGTATTGTGCTTTTCATATTGCAAATCAAATGAGCAAGACTAGTTGATTTTTTTGTTTAAGTGAGTGTTTGTACTGTAAACTTAAGTAAGTATTTTGCATCAACAATGACCAATAATCTGCCAACATCCACTAAAAAAGTGCAACACAACGAAATTTTCCAAGCCATCAGAGATGATGATTTGCTAAAAGTCCAAAGTTTACTCAGTTCCTGCAGTGTTTTATTATCAAATATTGTCGATGATACCAATAAAAACAATACACCCCTGCATAGTGCAGTTGAAGAAAACAGGTATGAAATTGTTCATGCCTTATTATTGAGAAAGTGGGAATTGGATATAAATGCGAAGAATGAGGATGGAGACACTGCCCTACACGTTGGCGCCAAAAAGAACGATGATCGAGTGATGCACTTGCTCCTCAAAGAAGGAGCAGCCAGCTATGTTGTCAACAAGGAAGGTGAAACATTTCTGGATATCGTTAGGAAATTGGCAATTCGAACAGGAATCTGCAAAAGCAACCAACAGATTGAGAAAAGTGTAGATATATCTAACCAATCGGGATCATCCCGAATAGTTACAGGTAAAATGTAAAGTGATCTTATCTTGAATTATCATGATTACAACTTTTCACACATTTATTAAATTTTGTGTTTAGGGCAAAGTGAGGAGCATAAAATTACAAAAGATGACAAAAAAGATACAAATCCTGCAGTCGATAATAAAAAACGATTAGTAAGTCCACCTTTATTGGGAAGAAATGCTAAAATAAACCATATAGCTAACAAGAATTGGTCGTCCTTGCACGTTGCTGCACACAACGGAGAATTAGCAAGGGTTCGGTACTTGGTAGGTCTTGGTGCCAAAATAGATGCCGAAAGTAAGGACAAGTTAACGCCACTCCATTGCGCCTCTATGAATGGATTTCAAGATGTAGTTCAACTATTGATCGAAAGAGGAGCAAATATTGAAGCTATCGATGATCAACAACAAACACCATTGTATGTCGCAACTCAAAATGGTCACTTGGAGGTTGTGCAGACTCTGGTTACTAGAGGCGCCAATGTCAATGCTGTTATTGAAGGAAAGACTCTATTGCACATTGCATCTCAAAATAGTCATTTGGAGATAGTGCAGTTTCTGATTAGTAAAGGCGCTGATGTCAATGCTGTTAATAAAACAAATTGGACTCCATTGCACATTGCATCTCAGAATGGTCATTTGGAGATAGTGCAGTTTCTGGTTAGTAAAGGCGCAAATGTTAATGCTGTTAATGAAACAAATTGGACTCCATTGCACATTGCATCTTGCAACGGTCATTCAGAGGTTGCTCTGTTTCTGATTAGTAACGGCGCTGATGTCAATGCTGTCAATAAAACATATAAGACTCCGTTGTACATTGCATCTCAATATGATCACTTAGAAGTGGTGCAGTTACTGATTAGTAAAGGCGCTGATGTCAATACTGCCAATGAAACAAAATGGACTTGTCTGCACATTGCCGCTTATAATGGTTACAAAAATATAGTCAAAGTATTGATGGACAAAGGGGCAAACACTAATGGAGTAAATCTCAATAATAGGACCCCAATAGATCTGGCCTACGAAGCAGGGCACAAGGAAATCGTCGAACTATTGCAAAATTAAACAAAATCTTTGAGTAATATTCAGAAACTAACCATTTTTATTGTATTGTATTGTATCACAATGTGATTAAAATTAAAATAATTTAATAGAACAGTTTAGTTTATATTCCTTCAATTAATAAATGTCTGCAAATACGTTTCAGCCTGAAATTTCATCGTGTTTGCACTTTTTGCAGAGACAGAACGCTTATATTTTTAGAATTGTTTGTACAGAAATACATTTAGCAGTGCACACTTGATTTAGTGATGAGTTTTATATAGTTGATATAAATATATTGTGTCCAATAATCGATCAAACGACGAACAAGTAGTCGGTGAACATCGAATTCCGGGTGATCTAGTTGATAGGATGAGTGAACATCAAAACATTTTATATATTAAACAATAAATATTATTATATATACTCTCTAGTAAAACGATACTAAATAATTGTCAAAACTGCAATAAAAATATTTTATTATAAATGAGTGTCTACTTGTCTAAAAGTCAGCTGATCTACTTTTGTACCAGCCTATCTGTTCACCCGTTTTTCTGTATACTTATTTTTCTAGATGTCTACTTGCGTATCTGTCAGACTATGTTGCAGCTTGTCTACCAGTCTAGCAGTTTACATGTCTACTCATCCAACTGTCTATTTGTCATCCTAGTATCAATATTTTATATGTTTATGAATCAACAATAATAGTAATATTCAGACCACCAAATGTTTTTTTTTTAACTTTGATAATTTTAATAATACATTGAAAATATAGCAAGTTTAAGAACAAGAGCACCATGATCATTACTGATAATTTAATTCTATTATTTTCGCATGTTGGCCAGCACTGGCTTGATTACTTTTATCAATCAACAATTTGCAATTGATATGATATCGATGTCAGATATATAGTTGTATTGTACTTTTCACATTGCACTGAATCAAATGAGCAAGAATAGTTGATAATTTTTTAAGTGAGTGTTTTACTGTTAATATAAGTTAGTCTTTTTGCATCAACAATGGGAAATAATCTGCCTACATCCACTGAAAAAGTGCAACACGAGGAAATATTTCAGGCCATCAGAGATAACAATTTGCAAAAATTCCAAGATTTACTCAACTCCTGCAGTATTCAATTGATTAATATTGTCGATGAAACCAATAAAAACAATACACCCCTGCATAGTGCAGTTGAAGAAAACAGGTATGAAATAGTCCAGACAATACTATTGAGAAAGTGGGAATTGAATATAAATGCGAAGAATGAGGATGGTGACACTGCTCTACACGTTGGCGCCAAAAAGAACTATGATCGACTGATGCACTTGTTGCTCAAAGAAGGAGCAACCAGCGATGTTGTCAACAAGGAAGGCGAAACATTTCTGGATATTGTTAGGAAATTGGCAATTCGAACAAGAATCTGCAAAAGCAACCACCAGGTGAAGAAGAGTAAAGATATATCTAACCAACAAGGACCATCTGAAATAGTTACAGGTACAAAATAAAGTGACCTTATCTTGAATTGTCATAGCTTTCTACACATTTAATAAATTTCTTATTTAGGGCAAAGCGTGGTGCACAAAATAACAAAAGTTGACAAAAAAGTTACAAATCCTGCAATCGATAATAAAAAACGATTAGTAAGTCCACCTTTATTGGGTAGAAATGCTAAAATAAACCATATAGCTAACAAGAATTGGTCGTCTTTGCATGTCGCGGCATACAATGGAGAATTAGCAAGGGTTCGATATTTGGTAGGCCTTGGTGCCAAAATAGATGCCGAAAGTAAGGACAAGTTGACGCCACTCCATTGCGCAGCTATGAATGGTTTCAAAGATGTAGTTCAACTATTGGTCGACGAAGGCGCGAATATTGAGGCTAACGATGATCAAGAACAAACGCCATTGTATGTTGCAGCACAGAATGGTCAATTGGATATTGTGCAGTTACTGGTTAGTAAAGGCGCCAGTATTAATGCACTTAATGTAGAAAATTGGACTGCATTGCACATTGCATCTCAAAATGGTCATTTGGAGGTAGTAC